TCAGAAATAGCCTCCGCTCTTGAAAAACCAATTTATCTCCATCAACTGAACTAAATATCTTCTCAGCTGTCTGAATTGTTGTTGACTGATAAAAGATATGCAAAGGCTAGGTTATGTTGATGGCGCCATAGCCGAAAACAAAACCAGCAGAGACTTTACAAAACCATCCGTTTGTGGTACTTAGACACCAATAGTTGTGAATAGTTTCCCATATAGCAGAGGAAAACAACCATTATCATTAACTGGCTCAGCTAAGAAGCCCTTTACCAAAAACGAGGGAGAGGAAACACTTTTGACGATACAACACCCAGAAACTATTCAACTATTTTATTTAGTTCATTTGTATTTATTCTTTGTATTAACGTTTACTCAGACAAACAAAATAATAATAAAATATTGCGTGTCATCTAATGGACAATTAAGTCTGGTTATCTCTTAATAAATCTTTAGTTTCGTCGCGTTCTCTCTGCCGTCGCCGTTGTGGTTTGCTTAAGGTCCACGTCTCTACTGTCAATGAGTGCCACACGTCAGAAAGAGTTAACCAATGTAAATGATGCACGCATTTTGACAGGTGCAAAACTTTCAGTTATTTTCTTACCTTTACGTTTCTTGATATATATATAGAAAGGAACTGAAACTAGAAGAACTTCCACCCTAATTATTTTATGACCCTACACCAAATAAAATGTTCAAATAATAGCTGGGTGCTGTTTTCTTAAAACTGTTTCCTCTCCGTTGTTTCGGTAGAAAGTTTAACTGGTTAGCAAGTTAATGAAAATAATTTCAAAAATGAAAAAAATGCCTATTTTCAAGGCATAAATGGGAAACTTCTTGTTTTGCACCCCTGCGGTTATGGTGCCATTAACACAAATTACACTTTGCCTATCTTAAATCATTAAAAACTGGATCATTGAGCTAACAATGGTTCAGACAGAGAGCTGTAAACATCTGCGAAGGTTATTAGAGAGGAAGTTATTTCAATTTTAACTTCTTTGAGAGATCTCGCCAACGACACCAATAAGTATTTTTAGAAAGTGCGATTAGTAAAAAACAGACTGGAATGATTTGGAAGTGCAGCAAGTGAAAGACACGAAATAGTTCTAAACAATCGTTCTGATATAAGTTCTGGTTTTCCCTCCTTTCATTCACATTCTAAAATAAAGAACTAAGTATTTGATGGATCATTGTGAGTGTCTACAATATATAAATTCAACGCAAGATATAATTTGTCATAAAGGGTGCTCGTCTTTCCCAAAGGAATACAACTTTAGTTTCCTTCATTTGTTCTTTCTAAAGCCTACCTCAGTGCGTTTGGTAGATTCTTTGTTTCTCCGTGTCACTTTTTTCACGTTCATGTTTTTGTTTTCCTTTTCCTTCCTCGGTCCCGTACTCTTTCTTCAAGCCCAGTCCTAATTTATCGCCGAAGGGGGAAGTGCTGGTGGGGGGCATCAGTGGCTTTCGGGGGGGGAGGGAATGGTTGTCGCCAGCAAAGTATAAAGGGGCACTATAGAAAATGACGGTCAACTAACTGCCAATGAGGGGAGATCATAACAATTTCACAACGTCTTATGTGAGGATCAGATCAAATTTGTGGTGAAACAAACAAAAAATTACAGTGAAATTTGACAACTACCACGGGTATCTCGTTGAAAAAATGCTGATTAAACAGCCGTTATAGGATTGATTTATTGACATTCTTTAGCAGCTTTCGAGTTTACAATTGCTGATGCACTAAAACAGCGTTCGAAGCGTCATAATTTGCGTTTAAACCGAAGTACACAGACATTTGATTTTGCAACGGAATAACTTTGTCTCAACCGATTATCGCTCCCTTCAAGTACTAAACAGAGGGCCTTATCTTACTTAGTCTAGGTTTCCTGAGAAGGGAAACGACAAAACTGTCTGTCTCATCGTGCGCTTCATGACCTGACTTATTTCTCTCATCTTCCAAAAACACAGGAATGGGTTTAGCGTCGAATTAAATAACAACAGAGATATCGTATGAACCCAGGAGAAGTTAAGGGTCGGTGTATTCGATCCACTGAGCATCACAGAAATAAAACTAACAACTAAAGCATAAGGGGGATAACAAGCCAGTAATGACATTTGTACCCACAATGTTGTGAACACTGTCTTTCTGTATCTCGCTTTGTTTAGTTAATTCGTTCTCCATTCTGTTGTGCTTGTTGAGCTTCATCTTGCACTTGGGCTTCAGTTGAGAAAGGCGAAGAGTGCGATAAATTTTGGTGTAGCAGAAAGAGATCATTAAGCACAATAAAAACGCTTTGACAGGCTATGCTCGTAGCAATATGTCGACTGTAAAAGAATACTGCTGCATTGGTATTGCTGAAGACCCAAAAAGTAAAAACGACAAGTCTTACTCGCCTCACAGTTACTAACTGCCAGTTACTACCGGCCTCTATCCGCGACCATAAATGCAGAAAAACTCTGGACTTGTTGTGTATAATTTACATCCTCAGTTAAATTCGCCATGATTTTATCCAGGCTCTTTCTTTACTCTCAATCCAGGCTCTAGCAGAACTGTTTGAATTGATTTACCGCAGTCAGTTGTTACCTCTTCAAAGTCTATTTGTCTCTTCAGAAAGAAATTTATCATACGAGACGTTTTGTTGTATAGTATCGCATCGCTGAGTATTTTCACAAGTTGAGCCGTCAAAATACAAATAACGAATAAAAATACTAAGCGATACGACACACCAAAACGTCTAATAAATTATTTATTATCCAACTCGCTAAATTGTTATTTCACTGTGGGCGAATTTCGCGGATATTTATTTACGGGAAGTTCGTGAGAGAAGTATGCGAAGTGGAACAGGATTGTCGCGTTGTCGTGTTCCTGTTTCTATTTTCTTCATTAACTGCTTTTCTTCGTTCGATTTATCTGATAAACTTGGGTCAATATTCGCCGGCCATTCCGACTCTTTGTCCTCAAAAAAATAACTTAAAATGTCCACCACTTTTTTTTGTAACTTCAATCCAATTCGTCGCTTGCGCGATGGGAGAAAACCTGTCTAACCGTTCTCTGGAGTACAAATACCGATATTTGTACTCGTCTTGGGAATTATTTGTACTCTGCAGAGTGTTGTTGGATAATAAAGAAAGTTATCTTTTAACGACAAGATTATATTATAAATTAACGACATGATATGGTGGTAATATATTCCTAAACATTGGAGATTTCCCCCCCAAACATGGAACTTTATCGCTTGGATCGGTTGCAAGCTCAGCTGTGACTATTCGTGCTACAGAACTCAAGCTGTTTTCATGGCTGTCAATAAATAGAAAAACTACATACTCACAACAGTATATATGGTACTCACAAGAAACCTTATCGTGTAATAACTTGTATTGAGGCCAATTTTTTTTAATAAAGTTTTTTAAACTGTGAAAATTTTAGAAAGAACTGATGAAATACAAGTCATGCAGCTTTCACCGATCTACAGCATCATCATCGACCCCTCATCCCTATCTATTCTTCGTCGAGATATAGTTAGGAAAAGTCAATCAGTTGGTGGCGTCTCTTTGCTGCAAGGTAATAGACAGAGAGCGATTCTTCCAATTTGCATTGTTCGTAATATGATCCTCTCATTCTCGTTCCCCGGGCCTCTGACGGGTGACAAAGGTGCCTCCATGATTATCTCGTCAGAAAAAACCTAACAAACACAAAATAAATATTGCTCTCTTGATAACTAAATATAACATTGCAACTGGGTTTTTTTACGGCTTTAAGTACAGGAAACTGAGAGCTGCTTTCGCATATATAGCACAGGTGTGGGTCACAAACAGGCAAAACCTCAAAAATTTTCGGGAATCCAACTTGAAATCAAATAGGAACTGACTTTCTTCAGCTCGTTTTAGTCGCCATGGCAAGTGAAAAATATATTTGGCATGAAAAATTTTCACTCAAGTCGCCAATTTGGAAACCAACAGATGAAAAAAAGGGAGACTTGGAAAAATTATGGATCTTTGGTCGAATTATCAAACGAACAAACGCCATTATCTCCTGTGTTTGTCTTTTTTCCTCTTCGCCTTCTGTTTCCCGTCATCGTTGGGGTTTGCTTAAGGTCTCTACTCTTATTGAGTGCCACACGTCAGAAAGATTTAACCGATTTAAATGATGCACACATTATGTCAGATGGAAACCTTTCAGTTATTTTCTTACCTGTACGTTTCTTGATATATATAAAGAAGGGAACTGAAACCAGAAGAACTTCCACCCTAATTATTTTCTGATTCCGCACCAAATAAAATGGTCAAATAATAGTGGGGTGCTGTTTCGTTAAAACTGTTTCCTCTCCTTTATTTTCGGAAGAGTTTGATTAGTTACCAAGCCAATGATTATATCAATATCAAAAAATGGAAAAATTGTCTATTTTCAAGGCATGAATGGGCAACTTCTTGTTTTCATCCAGGCAGCCATGGTGCCATCCGGCTACACAAATTACACTTTGAATATCTTATATTATTAAAAACTGGATCATCGAGCCAGCAACGGCTCAGACAGCTGTGAACATCTGCGACGGTTATTAAAGAGGAACTTATTTTAATTTTAATTTTCTCGATAGAGCTTGTCAACACACCAATAGGTATTTTTAGAAAGTGCGATTAGTGAAAAACAGACTGGAATGATTTGGAAAAGCTGCAAGTGAAAGGCCCTAAACAGTTCTAAACAATAATCGTACGCGTTCTTATATAAGTTCTAGTTTTTTCCTCTCTGACATCTAGTGCAGTCCTAAAGAACTCAGTATTTGATAGATTATCAAGTACAAAGGGGCACTATAGAAAATGACGGTCAACTAACTGCCAATGAGGGGAGATCATAACAATATCACAACGTCTTATGTGAGGATCAGGTCAATTTTGTGGTGAAACAAACAAAAAATTACAGTGAAATTTGACAACTACCACGGCTATCTCGTTGAAAAAATGCTCATTAAACAGCCGTTATAGGATTGATTTATTGACATTCTTTAGCAGCTTTCGAGTTTACACTTTCTGATGTATTAAAACAGAGTTCGAAGTGTCATAATTTGCGTTTAAACAAATACATAAAAATTTAATTTTGCAATGGAATACGTTTGTCTCAGCCGATTATTGTCTCCTTCAAGTGCAAGACTAAGCAGGGCCAAAACTAACTTAATCTAGGTTTCCTGAGTAAGTAAACGAAAAAACCGTCTGATCGTGTGCTTCACGGCCTGTCTCATCTCTCTCATCTTCCAACAATACAGGAATGGGTTTAGAGTCGAGTTAAACAGCAACAAAGAAAACGCAAGATACGAGACGAATTTAAGGAAATGTGTATTAATTCCACTGATAAGAATAAAACCATAAACTAAACCATAAGGAAGACAACAAGCAAATAATGCCATCTGTAACCACAGTGCTGTGGACACTGTCTTTCTGTATCTCGCTTTGTTCAGTTGAATCCCTTCTCCATTCTGTTTTCCCTTGGGACCTTGATCTTGCACTTGGGCTTCAGAAAGGCGAAGGGTCCGATAAATTTTGGTGTAACAGAAAGAGGAGATCATTAAGCATAATAACAACGCTGCACAAGTGATGCTGATAGCAATGTGTATACTGTAAAGGAATACTGTTGCATTGAGAGTGCTGAGGACCCAAAAAGTAAAAACGAGAAGTCTTACTCGCCTCACAGTTACTACCTGTCTGTATCTTAGCCCCAACAACAGAGCAAGAAGTCTGTCTACACTTATTGCTGTCATTGTCAACAGCGATACCGAGATGAATATTGAACCAATAGTATTTAAAAGTAATGATGAGTAGTAACAACCCTTTGAATGCTCTGAAGACATGAAGAAAACAATGAAAAGAGGTTGTGAATTGAGGCCCACGCCCAGATCTGTGCCCGCAAGACAACCGAGCAATAGTTTTGAGGGCGGATGAAGGCACGACACCTTACGAAGAGTAACGATGATCAGAAAATTTCCTACAAATGCAACTATGGATAGCGGAATATTTGTAGCTAAAAGAAATATCCTCTGAGCTGCTCCGAGAGCAATAATGCAGGAAACCTCTGGGCTTGTTGTCGTATAATTTCCATCCTCAGTTAAATTCGCCATGATTTTATTCACGCTTTTTTCTCTATCATTGAAATCCCAGCTCTAGGAACACTATTTGGGTTGATTTGCAGCAGTCGGTTTTTACCTCTTCAAAGTCAGTTCGTCTCTTCTGAAATAAAGAAAGTTATCTCTTAATCCCTAAGATTATATTTTAAATTAACGACATGGTATGATGGTAATACATTCCTAAACATTGACGAATTCCCCGCCAAGCATGGAACTTTTTGCTTGGATCGGTTTCAAGCTCAGCTGCGACTATTCATGCTACAGAACAAGAGGAGTTTTAATGGATGTTAATAAACATAAAACTGTATATCTACAACAGTCTATATGGTCCTCACAAGACACCACTATTCATAGTTTGAACCAATAGAGAAACCTTCACTGTGCTCTGTTCCGTTGTAAAGCAGGCAGGAAGCGGCTAGAACACGAAAGACGTGTAGGAGAAACATGAGACGTAGTGTTCATTACGTTACTATGTTAAGTAAAATATATAGACATCGTAAAGAACTTCAAAAACACAAAGCAAATTGCTGCTCTCTTGATAGCTAAATACAACATTCCAACTAGGAATTTTCCCATTCCTACCTTATACCTTACCGTTGGAAGTACAGAAAACTGAGAGTTGCTTTCACAGATATATCACCCAAAACTATTAAATCAAACTTAAAATCTCGTAGGAACTGACTTTAATTCCTTTAACTGTGTCAGTTGCAAAATAAAAGAGAAGCATTGATATCATAAGCATGAACATAATGATATTTTAGGAGCCATCTAAGTCAAGGGATGACGCAGAGAAGAGCATCCTTGCACAAGGCTGCGAAGAATGAGCGATTTTTCCAATTTCCATTGTTTGTGGTTGATCGAGGTTAATGGTAAAAAGCACCTTTTCAGCACGCCGAGCTGCGACCATTTTGGTCGCCATGGTAAGTGAAAATTATATTTGGCCACTAAAATCTAGACGAAAGTCGCCAATTGGCGACCAACATTTAAAAAAAAGGGAGACTTGTAAAATTGTCGATCTGTAGTCAAATTATCAAACGTAAAAACGCCAGTAAAACCTGTATTTGTCTTATTTTTCTCATTTAATAAATTTTTAGATTCGCGTTCTCTTTGCCGTCGCCATTGTGGTTTGCTTAAGGTCAGTGAGTACCACAAGTCAGAAAGAGTTAAGCAATGTAAATGATACGCACACTATGACAGGGGCAAAACTTCCACCCTAATTGTTTTATAATCCTACACCAAATAAAATGGTCAAATAATAGCTGGCTGCTGTGTACTTAAAACTGTTTCCTCTCCTCTGTTTTTGGTAAAGAGTTTTATTGGATAGCAAGTTAATGAAAATGATATCAAAAATGCCCATTTTCAAGGCATGAATGGGAAACTTCTTGTTTTGCACCCCGGCAGCTATGGTGCCATAAACACAAATTACACTTTGCATATCTTAAATTATTAAGACTGCATCATTGAGCAAACAAAGTCTCAGACAGCTGTAAACATCTACGAAGGTTATTAGAGAGGAAGGCTATTTCAATTTTAACTTCTTCGAGAGAGCTTGCCAACGACAGCAATAAGTGTTTTTAGAAAGTGCGATTAGTGAAAAACAGAATGGAGTGATTTGGAAGTGCAGCAAGTGAAAGGCGCTAACTGAGTTCTAAACAATAGTTCTGATATGAGTTCTAGTTTTACCCTCTTTTACATCTATAACATTCTAAAATAAAGAGTTCAGTGTCTGATGGATCATCATGAGTGCCTTCAGTAAATAAATTCAACGCAAGGTATAATTTGTTGGAGGGATCATTTGTTGCCAACAAAGTATAAAGGGGGACTAGAGAGAATGACGGCCAACTAACTGTCAATGAGAGGAAATCTCAACAATATCCCAACGTCTTATGTGAAGATCAGATCAATCTTGTGGTGACACAACCAAACAATTACAGTGATATTTGACCACTACCACGGTTATCTTTTTGAAAAAAAAAACTGATAAACAGCCGTTAAATGATTCATTTACTGACACTCTCTTGCTAGAACAGCGTTCGAAGCGTCATAATTTGCGTTTAAACAATTACACAAACATCGCCAATTTTTTTTGTTTGCAACGGAATAACTTTGTCTCAGCCGATTATCACCTCCTTCAAATACAAGACTAAACAAGGCCTTATCTTACTTAGTCTGGGTTTCCTGAGAACGGAAACGACAAAACTGNGAGCTGCTTTCGCATATATAGCACAGGTGTGGGTCACAAACAGGCAAAACCTCAACAATTTTCGGGAATCCAACTTGAAATCAAATAGGAACTGACTTTCTTCAGCTCGTTTTAGTCGCCATGGCAAGTGAAAAATATATTTGGCATGAAAAATTTTCACTCAAGTCGCCAATTTGGAAACCAACAGATGAAAAAAAGGGAGACTTGGAAAAATTATGGATCTTTGGTCGAATTATCAAACGAACAAACGCCATTATCTCCTGTGTTTGTCTTTTTTCCTCTTCGCCTTCTGTTTCCCGTCATCGTTGGGGTTTGCTTAAGGTCTCTACTGTTATTGAGTGCCACACGTCAGAAAGATTTAACCGATGTAAGTGATGCACGCATTATGACAGATGCAAACCTTTCAGTTATTTTCTTACCTGTACGTTTCTTGATATATATAAATAAAGAAGGGAACTGAAACTAGAAGAACTTCCACCCTAATCATTTTATGATTCCACACCAAATAAAATGGTCAAATAATAGTGGGGTGCTGTTTCCTTAAAACTGTTTCTTTTCCTTTATTTTCGGAAGAGTTTGATTAGTTCGGCCAAGCCAATGAAAATATCAATATGAAAAAATGGAAAAATTGTCTATTTTCAAGGCATGAATGGGCAACTTCTTGATTTCATCCAGGCAGCTATGGTGCCATCAACAGAAATTACACTATGAATATCTTATATTAATAAAAACTGGATCATCGAGCAAGCAACGGCTCAGACAGCTGTAAACATCTGCGAAGGTTATTAAGGAGGAACTTATTTTAATGTTAAGTTTCTCGATAGAGCTTGCCAACACACCAATAGGTATTTTTAGAAAGTGCGATTAGTGAAAAACAGGAGGAGACTGAGTTAAACAATAATAAAATTGAAGTTATGCACCTGACTTAGTAGACTGTTATGGGTGCCAAAGACGAATAGAACACGAAATAGCATTTGCAGTTAGTTTGTCAGAGAACTCAAAATTTTGCGTTCTAACAAGCCCCTCGATAGGTCAGCACTCGCTGTAGGGGCATTAGAAGTGAAATTAACCACTAAGGTCATATTCCCTCCAAAGCTTGTTTTACTGTGACGGAATCAACGTTAACTCTGCTGAATATCATGCTACATGCTAAGGTGGAATCGAAAAGTTGTCTCCATGACCGTTCCTCCCAATATATCTTCCAGAGCGGATCACGCCTTATAATCTGATATTTTCCAGGTTTGCCATTAACAACGACCTAGAAATTGAACAATTCTGCTTCATTTGGCATTGACTATAAAACTGAATCCTGAATTGATCAACAGCAATAGCATTCACTAAAACAAGTTCCTGACGCCTACTTGTTCGTTCTTAATACACCTAATTAACGGCTGCTTGTTGGCTCAAAAGTAGCCCAAGCTCACGCAATGCACGAGCCTCCTTATTTTCTCTTGATTTCACCCACTGAGCCACCTTGAGATATTTTCATATTTACGGAGGCTCGGAGCTTTAGTCGACTTTTGTTTATCAAGCTTAAAAAGTGAATAGAACGTTGATGCAATTGGTGATGGACAGTCCAACATCAATTGACTCCCAGTCCATAGACTACCCCGATGGGTTATCCAAATGGACTATCCTAAAATGGCAGAGTCAACGCCCTCCTCAGTGCAACCGCTTTCGTAAGCGACCACAGTCTAGTTGCAAGATTCTCAGGTCTCGCCTTCAGTACCAAAGTATTGACATATTCGTTTCCCCAGAAAATATGTAAGCACATGGTGCTTCGAGGCCATAGCCAGCCTTGTAACTACCATCTTCAGTTATAGTTGTTTGTGAGCCGCCCTAAAAAGTACAAGAAACTTGCTAACAAATACCGCCATTTGCAATAGGAATATGACCAATTGTTTCATCCGAAGTCATGAAAGGTGTCGGAGTGATGTGGTTGCCTGTTTGTTGAATTTGTAACGAAAATGGTCGGTAGATTTGACAATATTTCGTCAAACATTTCCAACGTCTGTGATACGTATGTAATAAAGGATAACAAATTAAGTATTGACTTAGGAAGATAAGAGCAACCATATATACCACAAGATTACAAATAACAATATCACAAACAAATTTCATAATTAGATTACTTTATCCTCTAGTTCGCAATAGGTCTTCCTTGATTAATATTACAGACACTAGGACTACTGCATTATTTGCATTTCTCAAGTTTTATGCTAATTAGATAAAAGCTCTCGTAAGCTCGCTTACGAGAGCGTGATCTTGTCCATCGCCGATTCGATTCCGGTAGATACGATAGACGGTTCGGTTACTTATAACAAATATCATAAGTACAATAAGGACATAAAAATATTTAAGTGAACTTGAGAAAGCTGGCGCCAGTGTTACATGTGCTGGATTGATCCCACCTTATTTTTAATTCTGTACAACTTACCAGCTGCTTCATCAACTGCACTCATCAACTGTTTCCTCATTAGGGGAACTTGCCATCTTGAACGGATTTTATCACGAGTGAAACAGAAAACTATAGACTATCAATTATTGATAAACGCCATTGCCTAGTTCCTTCAGCGAGCGTAAAAAAATCAGGCAAAGATGCTCTTCAATCAGAAGAAGCTCTTGGGAAGTAGGGAAGCCAATGTACGCTCATAATTCTCAGAAACTTGGATACTTGTTTCCGAGAATTCCTGCTCTATTGTTCCCCTAAATTCTGCCGAGGTAAACTGCTACCTTGTGGGCCCGGGGCCCGATTTTCGAAGGTTCTAGTAACGCTGAAGACCTAAAGCTATCAGTTTTAAAAAAAAGTTAAACAAGCAATGGTCAGTCTGGTCTTTGCTCAAAGGAAGTCGATTTTTTTTTTCTTGAGTCCCAACATTTTCCTTGCTTGCATTAGAAAATCGTTTTTAACTACCTCGATCTTCTTGAATGTAAACATGACGAAGAAACAAAGCTTCTTAGGCTCGTTAACTGTCGGAATCTTAGATAGGTGGGACTCGGCCCGGCCCGAGACCTACAGTACAGAAAAACTCTTGGCTTATTGTTGTAGAACTTCCATCCTTTGTTAAATTCGCCATGATTACATTCAGGCTTTTTCTTTATTCGTCATCCAAGCTCTGGAGTTGCATTTTGGGTTGCTTAATAGTGGCCCGTTTCAATTGCCTCAAAGTTTATTCTTCTCCTCTGAAGTACAGAAAGTAATCTTTTTGTCGATAAAATCATATTATATGAATTAACGACATGATGTGTTGCAAATATATTCCGCTAAATCATTTATTGCATGCTGAGCGGCGAAATCATCGATATGATATTGATGGTTTCACCACTTTAACTGTCCGATTATAGCCGATTATTCGATTAAATATTGCACTCTCTGACTACAACTCTACAGAATGATTATTAAAAAATATAGTAGCTTATGCGCCAATCACATTTGAGGAGATTATAACGCTTATGGCAATGTTCATAACTACATGATAGTATCATGCAATTCAAAGTGTATGATCACTGAGATCGACCTTACAGTGGACAGTTAAACCCCAAATTACCTGCGGTGGGACTAATATCGCACCATGTTAAAGTCACGATGCTTCTAAGTTTCCTCATTGGGAAAACAACAAAAATTCCCTATCGTGTGCCTCGCGGCTCGTCTCATTTCTTTCACTTTCCAATAATACAGGGATGGGTTA